TTTTGTTGTCAGTTTCTATCCAGATTGTCTGAGTGAATGTCTGGAGGTGTAGGCACCTCGGAATGATTGTGTTAAGCTAGCACTAAGTCCCTCCCCCGTCCACCTTTACTCTCCTCTTGACAATAAGGCTTTCAAATAAATCATAGTTGTACGGTAGTGAAGCATCGGTGTTGGACTCTGATGTCATGCTGTCAATGATGATGGCTCAAGTGGTTAGAGCTCGGATTTACCGACTGGAAGGTCCGTTGTTCGAACCCGACCTCTGTCTCTCGACTTCCCTTGTCTAGGCTTGGGCGACCTGGCTGTATCCCGGCCCTCTTGCAAACTTCGGGTGGCATGGCAGTTAGGCACCGAAAGGGTGCCTTTCGATTATTATAATTATTAATTATTATTAATGACAGTTGGATGCCTGACCGAGATCCGATTTCTTTTCTGACAATGAATGCCATGTACTGAATTGAGATCGAACTGCATTATATTGGACATGATCGTATCGATCCAAGTCCACAACTATTCCTGAGGGATCTTACTTGAACTGTTGTCAGAGGTAACAGCACCTCCTTTGGTCGTTCAGTATTATCAACTTGTCATCTGTGCTTCGGTCTCAGCGCTAGACATTGCTTCTACAGGCAGGCTAAACCAGGTGAGGCAGTGAGGTGGGATGGTGAGACGGGTTGTTGGAGGTTTTCCCGTCAGTGTACAGCAGAGTAATAATACTTATAAGGACCTGTTACTTGTTACAGTGTGCTGTATTTGAGTGCACAGTGATAGTAGAAGGCTAGTTGATGGGTTCTGCACCTGCACAAGCCGGTGATACGTTTGAAGATAGTTTAGGTGCACCACACATTGCCACATTTTCACAGATTTCATAGGGTTTTGTTTAGAGCAGATGGAGAGTACTACCAAAGGTTACAAGCAACTTGCATCACTTTTTCCCGACCCATTCCATCTTGTCTTCGGGGACTTTAATATACCCAAGCTCTTTGCACGTGCCTCTTCCTCGATTTTAGTGCTCGAAGCATGCAGAACAGTCCTGGCGTTGCGCCAGCACTGTGCATCAAAACGGCCTTTTCTGCCAAGCCCCATTCGTCGATTATCACATGGTACCAATCCGACTTGCCAATTGCACCTTGCTTCAATGTGGTGGCCGTTTTGACTGTCGTTCCGACTAGCCTTGCACTCTACCTAATGCCAGTCTGATACGGCCTTCTCGATCTTTATCTCTCATTTTCTATCAGTACTTTTGTTCCATTTGCAATTAATGCTGTGAAATTGATTTTATTCTTCAGAATCCAAGTTGTCCGGAAACATTACTTCTCTGTTTTTCTAAATTAGTTTTGTTTGTCTGGATAGGGCTGGATTTGTAGGTTTTGGCCAAGTGGTTGAGCGGGGCAGGGGTCTATGGATGATGACAATCGAGGTACTTAGTTCGTTCTTATCCCTCAGTCTGTAGTCAGCGTGGAAGTCAGGTCGTTTGATCCCTTGTGCGTTCGGGTCTGTTCCGGTTTTTATGCTACTGATGGAGCCATCTGAAATGGGTTCAGGGGTTTTCCCATATCAATAGTTAGAGACATTGTCAGATATGACCCAGTCGCGCCCTCAAAGGCGCTCGTGCATCCAAGCTATTGCCTTCAATGCATAGCTCCCTTCCCAATCCCCCCACTGACAATGCTGGATTTATGCACCAATTTATCAGCTCCCGCCTCCAATGCGCACCTACCCCCCCCCCCAAATCATCGGTGAACGAAACTGCGGCAGCTACAACCACTGTACGACGAGTACGTGATTCCTACAGCTGACAATGTTGATGAATGTGTGGTACCGGTGGTCCTGTCATCAGACCACTTCGAATAGGTTCATTGAGTTGTCCACCACTATAACAATAAGAGTTGCTCAGGTGTAACACCGTGTCGGTACCTAGTTGTCGTGCCACCCGAGGGAAGCAAGAGGGATGCCAGCTTGCTCTGGACAGGAGCAGCCGAAGTACTGAGGATGGGTTAGGACGACGGGCCTTCCGGCGGAAAATTTCGCGCCGTAACCACTGAGCTACGTCGAGCTCACTGTGGGTGGGGACACCAGTTTTGTTTATTTCCAAAATGGACAGTCACGTGTTATCAGTTGTTGTGTGAACGAAACATCGCTGCGTCCCGCACTAAATCTTGTTTGCGAATTTTATCATCTACTGTTACCGGCAATACGCTGGTAAACTTTGTATTTCCCTTCTGGGTTTTCATTCATTCGGCAACTTTTTTTGTATGTGTGCAAACTGTAATGGGAGGTGTGTGTGTGTGTATGTGTGTGTAATGGGAGGCGTCCTGCCGTATTGAGTGCACCAGATTGTGGATCGATCGCATTCGCTGTTTATTGGCGCATATTTTGAGCTTAGTTACTCATAAGCCGATAGAGTACCACGCCCACTATGTATTGCATGTAATGTTCACATCGAATACTTAAGGAAATCCCAGGTCTATAAGTCTCCACCACTCTTAGCCATCGTCTTACAAGGCGTTCATAGTTTTCAGTAGGCCTATTCGATTGACCTTATGGGGTCGAATCTCGTAAAATCGCTTGGAAAATAGCCTCCATTCAGGTCAAATGGACGCAGGTAGATAGGTAGAAAAAGCAAGAATTGCAATAATATGTGTACGGCCTCGTTTGAGAGTACGATCAGTACTATCCACGCCGTTCTCGCTTGAATGGTCCCACTCCTGTCCTTACGTGCTTATTCTATTCACAATCTTCGCAACGTTATATTACGCATACACAAATGGAAGGTGGTAAGCTATTCTTCGGTCCGCCTACTCACAGCAGGGTTCCACGTTTTCGTTTTACCATCTGCTAGTGGGCATACGTTTGCATTACGACAATATCCATTTATCGATCGATTCATTTAAAGGTGTTCTACTCACGTGACTATCATCGTGAAGACGGTATGGGCGCTGTCATAGTTTGTGACGGGTTTGTCTCTGATTGACTAGGTTTACGCTGAAGACAGCCTTTTTGAGACGCACTTGGTAGACGGGAATTATCCTCGTGTCGGAGGAGTTTTGCTGGTTCGGTTCAGAGTGATTAACACCACTAGGGGAATGGGACAGCAATAAAAGTTTCCCTGTACTTTGCCGCACGCTGAGTTTGCATTTTCTGCTGTTTTGAATGCTTTTTTTGGGGGGGAGGGGTTAACGCAGTGCAAACTACTCACGCCCGATATCATCGGACGTTTCCAGCCATATAGATTCAGCATCCTGCAGTCCTTGAACGGGAAGTTGAAATGAACGTACCACAGGCCGTCTGTCTCTTCATTCCTTTTCGTCACGTCATAGGCCGACCACCTGGGTTTCTTACGATTTATAATAACAGTTATTCGATGTAATGGATGATCAACTGGACGTTGAACGTGCCCGAGTGGAGGAGATTTCAGTGATCCTTGTCGCACAACTAATAACAGTACTGTGTAAATACTGTTTTTTACAAAATAAAGTGACACTTGTTCGTGTCTGTGTTTTGATCAGGCCGACTTTCACAGTACTGCCCGCACTGTTTCGGCCGGGAAAGCCTCAGATCAAGTGGAACTTCGAACTTGCTGGATGCTAAACTTTCCTTGTAGATACGTAGTGCAACCTTGTCACCAGTAATACAAATTCCGGCATGCACGTGACTACTTACTTCTCCTGGTTTATCACCCCTGCTTCCGATTTGGTAGTGAACAAAGATGTTGTTCAGCCCCGGAAAATTGATTTGAGGGTGCAAACCACGTGATGAATCGTACAGCATCCACTCTCAGTAGGTCTAGCAAGTCATCATCTAGTCATCTGCGAAACTTCAACTACGTTATTCTTATCCAGCGCCCCGAAATGTCACCATCGTCAAGAAGGCCGAAAAAGAACGGGGAAACAGGACAACTGCATGCACACCATTGATGATAATGGATGGGGTTAATAGGTTGCTGTATGCTTTATTCGTACAATGCCTTAAGCTCCGTGATATACCTGTCCAGTGCTCTATATTTATGTGAACATTTTCATGGGGCTATTTTCAATCCAATTGAAAGCCGCAGGTATGTCTGGAAAGACTCTGGGTATCGGTCGCTTATAGGCGTGAGGGTATTCTAGAATCTCACGAATGGTAGAACATTGACCAAAGAAAAACCTGGCTGGTTTTTCTTCCGTTTTTTCCTCAATCCAGCCACCTGTGGATGATTCCGGAAGGCGGAAGTTTCGGCACTGTGTTGAAAATCAGTGCATGGCAGGTTACTCGATTTACTCTAGGATGATGATTCTTTTCGTCAGACCAGATCTGGGATTACGCAGTGGTTGATTCTCGTGCTAGCGTGTCGCCACCATTTGTGGAAGTCGTTGAAGACCGATGGCTTTGTAACAGTTAAGGGTTACGATCGCTCTTCTGATTGTCAATCCAGCTCAACAGGCCAGGGGGCAAAAGTGGGCGTAGCTGGCCGTTCAGAAGGTCCAAGTATCTTGTTGGGCTGAACTTCAAAGTTGAGTACACTACTCGGAGGAACTTGATGCGATGCCGAAAATAAATGCCCTTCGGCTTTGACAACCGAGAGGTATCACTAGCCTCATTGTTCTTTGTCTATCCATACCTGGACATTCACGCCATCCACATCATCCGACGTAAATGCACTGTCATCTGCCAATCAATCCGGTAGTCCTTTTCGTATTGGTAGCTTTCAATGTCTGGACTTCGTCGAACAGACCACCAAGGAACTGCTTCCTAGATCCTACTTTCTATCATTGACGTGTTATGTCTTGAAAACAAACTTACAATATTCAGCTTGTTCTTACAATCCAATGCCTGATTTGTTACGTTTCACTCTTCGAGCGGTAGTTTGGGGATTGTGGGTTGTTAAGATCGCCCTCAGCCTCGGAACTGAACGGACCTCTTACAATCCAATGCCTGATTTGTTACGTCTCACTCTTCGAGCGGTAGTTTGGGGGTTGTGGGTTGTTAAGATCGCCCTCAGCTTCGGGACTGAATGTACTTTACTGGACTAGACCACAGTAAGCATCTCTGTTTGTCATGTATGGTTGTCCAGCTCGATCACTGCTGTTCTGGAACGTCGTGTCCGCTTGCAATTCGCTGATCGCTTCTAGTCTCGAAGGAAAAAAACAACTTAATGAGACCTATTTGAACTGTTGCGGATCGCGAACAACATTCATATTGATCGAATGAGCCCTGTAGAAGCTCCTGTCGGTAGTCGGTCCGAAAATGACCCTTGTCATACTATCATCGGGAAGCAATTCCTTCAACCACGCGTTGACCATAATTGTTTCTCATTATCACACATCATGTGACATGACGTTCACTAAATACGGGTCAGTGACAATCAGTTACCGATGAAAGGTTGTCGTTCCTCTCCCGGGTTGCTCATTTTAACTTTGATCACGTGACAGCTCGTACAGGTTTACCGAGTCGATTTCCATCATGATTCTCTAGACCAATAAAAGTTAACCGCTACAAACTAGTCAAAAATCGTTTAGAAGCCGTCACAAGTCAATGACTCAGACGTTGGTAATATTTTGAATGGAGTTACAATAGATGAAAGTGACCACGGAACTATCCTCTAAGACGTTCCCCACAACTTCGAAGCGGCTCGAAATCGTCATTTGTCATTTCAGCACGTGACGACAGTTCACACGGGTCGCTCAAACGACGATTACTAAGGAATCCTAGACTAAAGATGGTGTAGGCTTTTGCGGTAGGCTTTCGTACCCTGTGTCGTCCGACTTGGATGTTCTTTTGGAACTAAACGACAGTGATTGAGGCATCCAACGCATAACACGATCGGGGAATCTACTGTCAGTACCGTCCTCTAGAAAGGTAGTTGAGGGAGGACCTGGGGATCATTCCGCCAATGGAAGAGATACAAAGTGAAATCCTCAGTAAATTCCAGTCTTTGATGCCTTAGTAGTCAGTTTGACGAGACAGTCCCCGGCAGTATTGAACAATAAATGCTTCTGAAAGAAGGGCACATGAGCAGTGTTGGAAAACCGTCGATCTATCTGATGGGAACTCACGGAGTAGCTCTTGGCAACCCGATTAGGTTTGTGCTTCACAATCTTGTGGTTTAAGAGAATACTGCAACACTGGGTATGACGGGGGCTAAACTATATGAGCTAATTGTCACGGTTAATAACGTTATTTATATGGGTGGTTTTCCTGGGTAAGCATCCAATCACCCTCAAGGTAAAGTGGGAGCGGGTTTTTCCAATTTAGGTCAACAGTGGCGGCGAGCTGACGTCTTCCGTCTATCAATGATAACTGTCAGCTTCCTGAAAAGCATCCCAGAATTCCCGAACTCCAAACTCCACCAAAACCTCACTGGGAAAGCCAGCAAGAACTCAGGCCAATCAATCATTCAATCAGTTTAGCAATAGCCTGGATCAATGAGAAGTGGCATTCAAATAGCGCGAGGGCCCTGGTAACTTTTGCACTCGTTTGTTAGCAATAAAGCCGTTGTGTTCCTGCTGACGGCTCTTTCTGACGCCGTGGAGATTGCGGTTAGGTATAACAGTAATGTTTACAGTGCTACAATCTACTGTATGATGTTATGAGGGCTAGGAACTTTACCAGTACGAATTAACTCTAAAAAGTTCAAGTTTGCGTGTGATAAAGAACTCCCAATGTCTGTTCACTGGTGTTTGCGAAACGGTGCCAGGTCCTGTTTGGAACATAACATCAGCAATACTGTCTTTGGGGAGCCTCTTTTTCGATATTTTTGGCTGATTGCACGCCATTGACTGCATTAGCTTGGTCGTATGTCTTACACACCAACAAATTCGCTTTTTCTAAAGACTTTTTCAACCGTACAAATCATAAGAGCAAGTTAAGAGAAGTTGCGCGGTAAATAAGTGTGAATACCATAGCAAGCAAGCTCGTTTACGTTGACGTCCAACACCGCTTGAAGCCCCCAAAACGAGCCATAATAATGGTTAGAAATACTAATATACTTGTTCCGGTCACAGCCAGTGGTCTGTGTGCATCAAAACAACTATCTTCAGTGCATAACTGTTTCCACACTTAAAACCCAAAGTTTCTGTAACATCACTTCTGTGAGGAAAAAAGGATGTCGGCTGTCGCCTCTGTTACGCAGGTCCAACCCGACTCCCAAAATAATCTGTGGCAGGTAGGACCAACATGCAATTCGTTCACGCTTTGGAGCCACTGAGGTTGATGTGCGCAAGTGTCGTTTAGTGACTCGTGGATATGCTCTTGGCCCAATTAACCTTGGAATGGCGTATCAAAGAGCGATACACGCGATGGCTGTGGACGGTTCAGCTTCTGCTTCCGCGGCAGAGCATGCACAGCCTTATAGAAAGGAGATGTTGCTAACGCTTACTGACCTTCTCGAAGACATTCAGACAGTCAGTCAGCTGTATCAGCCTTTCGGTGCCCAGCTGCCATATCACCCAAATGAAGCACGAGGGCTGGTGTACTGTCAGGTTGCCTAAACCTAGACAGGGAAGTCGAGAGGCTAAGGTCGGGTGCGAACCACGGACCTTCCGGTCAGTGAATCTGCGCTCCAACCACTTGAGCGATCTCGTCCCCACCTCGCAGGGAGTACGAACTTTCAAGTACTGACGTGTTTCGTTTACCAGATGGCAGTGCTAGCTACCTGAGGAACAAGTTAAGTGTAGGCCATCCTATAGATGTGCAATGCCCTCCGTACCGGAAATTGCAACCATTTAAGCAATCGCGGACGGTGTCTTGTCTCTTCGTTTTATATCCGAATAGACTGCCTCGTTCAGCACGAATTCAGCATCCTCATTGTCGAGAGGGATGCAGTTGTCCCGTCTTCGAAGGCTAGATATGCGCACAAGTCATTTGATTCAGTGTGTTTTTTCCCAGTGCACTCGGTGGGACTCGCCAAACCCATTCGCCTGTGAGCCTTGGTCAATATGTCAGTGCCCATGGGGATTTCCCTAAGGTGGAACTAAAAATTTGTTCATCTTCTCGAGTGTCTATCTGTCGTGAGTCTAGATTACTTATGATTGAATAGAACTCAGAAGTGGGGACTTCGCCTCAAAAAAGAGTGCAAGTGATGGTAGAAGATTCACGATATCACGTACAAAAGAACCCTGTGCTCAACTGGAACTTTGAATTTTTCTTACTACTCACAAATTCCAAGTAACTTACGAAGGATGCAAAATATTCCATGGTGTCCTGTGGTCCAACACCCATAAATCGCGTATCCTTTTAGATGAACACCCGCCCGTACAGCCAACGTAGAACGATCGAAGTGAGCATGCGAAACAGCACAACAATTTTTGGCAATTTGTCTTCCAGCGGTGACCTCACCGTAGAGATAATCTGAAGCTCGATCAAAGCTGACAGGCCATACATGTGTATCCAGTTCCCTAAAAATCGATTCAGACATCACGTTGACGCATTCTGTTTTCTTGTGCACCAGGCAAACTATCTTCTTTGCTTTCACGCGCCCCATTATTCCATGTATAAACCACATCGGATAGCCGTAACCATGACACTTGGTTTTGAAGAGCTTGTGCTGTTGGGACCAGTTAAGTGAGCATATTTTAATTGACCCACTCACTTGGAACTGATGGGATTTTTTTCCCTCTCTAAATGTGTATACCGACCGGTACAGTATGTCTCCGATGTGCACTCTGTATTGTTTTATCCTTTTTTTCAATGCCAAGAATATCGTAGAAGTTAAGCTCCTGCTTGATTCAGAAGCTGGCGTTGAGTAAGGGAGATTCAATGCTTCGTAGAACCCGATATAGTTGTTGAACATGATGAGTATTGCTCACTGACTGTTATGAGCGTATCGCTCCCTAGCTTACTCATGGATATGTGAATTAGAATGATACGAAGTGATGTCGGGGAGAACACGTTTAACTTGCTCTCGTTTGAACCGTACTTCTATCCTGATGCAGTTGGTTTGCCAACAGACGCGATGCCGGCGACATCTTCACTGGATTTCATTCTGATGCACTCATTAATAAACTAGGGTACAATTTGCTTGTAACAGCCATTGAGCAATGCGCTGTATGCGAACGAGTTGTCAATGATTTACCAGTTATATCAAACAACTGTGTCGTATTCGATGGACATTGAATGTCCGCAAATCAACCCGTCTAAACGTCAGCATCTCTGCTGGGCAAGAGCTCAACCTCCCGAATGTTCTTTTCATGTGAGAATGGAAATGAAACGAAACTTCGAAGTAGCTACCGAGAGCACACCTGGACCGGTCAGTATACATATTTAGAGGGTTCCCCAGAAAAAATAGAAAAAAACGACTACTAATACTAATACTACTCAAATCTGTTCATGCGACTGTATCCAACACCACAGAGTTTATAAATCAAGTACTATGCCGAAAGACCATTCGATCCGCGTTGTATTTAGTCTGAAACCAAAGCAGGTGGTTTGTTTGGTGTACAAGAAAGGAACCTGCATTAATCTTCGTTATAAGCAAGGAGAGATATTTGAATAGATTTTTAAAAGATCGGAGGATTGCACTGTATCTGCATTTAGTTGAGTTCAGTTCTTCGCAGCTGGACGACAAATTGTCAACAATTATGGTATTGTTTCGCGTTTTCATGTGATCATCGTATGTATGTCCTATGTACTCGGAGGCGCTTATCTGAAGATATATGCGAACGTTTTCGTCTATCTCTAATTCTGTGGAAATCATGGATCTAGCTAAAGCGCCATCGGTTTTGACCGGGTAGGTAGCCCTATTACAATGGGACCTTTTATCGGCTGCCCCGCACTCTGTATGTGACGTTAGCCCCCATTTATAGCTTGACCAGTGGTGGTACGCCTTTGTTCCACAAGAACTCGTGCAAACTTTGAACTGAGCGCCCACAATTACCATCCCCAGTATATTTCTTAAAATGCCTTGATTTTCCAACCTTCTCTGTCCCATACGTATTCATATCTGTCATGCAAGTTGCGAGTTGATCAGTCGCGGGAACCAGACTTTGTTAGACACGCTACGACTGCCGATATAGTCGGCCATGGTTCACAGTACGTCACTTTTGCTTGTCTTATTGACTGGCACCCCACGTCGGGAGGTTGAGAATACGGTTCAACGAATACTGTCACGTGTTTGGTGGTTGTCACTCGTCGATGAACAGCTTAGGGCACATACCAACCACGGAGTACTATGAAATTTTAACATAGCTGTCCTACTACTGCCTGTCGATTTCACTACTATCGAGCTAATGCTAACTTTTTCTTGGTTCGACGGTTCGACAAATAATCCGGTTTATCCGAAACGAACAAGATGACGCGGCACCGGTTTATTGTTCGTTGACGATCTCTGTGGAGCACACAACGACAGTCTGCGTTTTCACCGTAGCAGTGCTGGGCTTGGCCGGATCGGTTGTCTCTGTGTCAGTTTGTAGTAGTGGGTGTGATGGTAGCTCTGATGTCCGCCGTCTTCAGCTGCAACAGTGGACAGTCTGTTCTCTCTGTCAAGAACCGTAGTAGTCATTCGAAGTTTCGGCTGTATTTCTCGCCACTCACAACGATCGAGGTGGGAGCTCACAGTTTGTATCACAGCTCCCGGATTTAAATTCATCGACGTATTGGTTGGCCGACTACGGTTTGGCAAATTGCATCCTTCCCACATGTTTGAATGAGATAGTCGGTGGTTTATCTCAGCCCTTGTGCTTCCTTCGGATGGTATGGCAACTACGCACCGGAAAAGGCTGAACGACTATCTTTTTTTCTCATTACATGTTTGAACGACCAGCCGCTCTCTTCTCGCTGATTTACTTCTAAAAATGGTAATAAACTACGAAGAGACCTTTCGCCCGTGGTCTTTTTTAGAAGTCTTTTCCCCCGCGCATTGTGCTTTAATTCTACTTTCCTTCTTTTGATAGGTGTCTTGATGTGCAGCGATGCAGCGCTCCCGCGTAAGTCAATATTTCGTCTGTTGCCAAGTGTGATTTTTCCCTCTATATTCGCCGTCTGTATTCACCTTTTGAATCAATAATTTCACCTCATTCTGTCAGTCTTAATAGTGTCTTTCTCGTAAGGGATCTAAAAATGGTGTTCCATCATGTGGAAAATGCGATTGATTTCCCCCTTTTACTGATTTTTTCTTCTCAGGCACTGAAACTTCTGGCTGATTTGCATCGCACTTGCCGTGTTGTCTTTCATGGCGACGAGTCAACTTTGCAAGGTGAATACTACTGGTTTTCGGAAAACCCGTTTCCTAACTCTTTGCACTGTGTGTGAACAGACCAACAGGCAGTTCTGTTTCACGTGAAGCAGTCCATTGAGTAGCTTCATTGACTCGTTTGTTTTGCCCGCCCCCGGATGGACTCATGTGACCATTCACGCGATGTTTAGGCTCGGTTCTCTCTGATTTTCACAAATGGCTGGTGATCTGCATGAAAATTGATGCCTCTAGTTTATTGTAATGCGCGACATAGTGACCAGAGCACAGTCAAACCCCAATTTGTTGAACGTTGCTTATTAGAATTTAGGAATATGGGCTAAATCCTCGATGTTTAGTACACGTGATCGGTATGCAACTTTGATTGGTTCAACTGTCCATCCTGTGGAATAACCCATCTGGTGTAGATAAAATCGGGGTAACCTTCGAATCCCGGTGCTCTTAACCCAACGACAATAGACGATTCGCTAAATACACTGATTTGCGCATCAGTTTAGTTTTAACGGGAGATTCAGGTGAATCTCTCATTTATTGGGGGCGAGATGGCCCAAGTAGGTAGCGCGCGAATTTACTGACTGGAAGGTTCGTGGTTCGAACCCGACATCCGCCTCTCGACTTCCCCTGTCTGGGCTTGGGCAACCTGATGGTATCCCAGCCCTCGTGCAACCTTCGGGTGGCATGGCAGTTAAGCACCGAAAGGGTGCTGCAGCTGAACGATTTTTTTCTCGTTTATGATTACGTGCCTACCTGATGAGCCCCAAGTAAGGGTCAAACAGAAAGGTGGCCATGAACTCTGCCCGTCGAATGTATAGTGTCAACCCAGTTTCTGTCTTCCATACTGTCACGAATGATGGGCAGTATGTGGGTAGCTTCCATGTGTGAGGAGACTTTGCGTTTGGGGACACGTGATCAATCAGGTTATTGATCGTAACCAATCACCGTTCTCAACAGGAAACCGGTAATTAGCAATCGGTAGACCTAAAAATTAGCTACCCCTCTGTTTCTAGTTATTTCTACATCACCATTAGGCAAGGGTAACTACATATTCACGTGGTCGCATACACGATGATCCCCAATCTAGGATACTGCTAGACTTTCACACATGGTGAGGCACACTGAGCGCGGGAATGGGAATGGATACGTCTTGTTCATCGACCAAGCGAATGCAGCCACGTTTCTGGCAAGTTCGAATGCCTTACCTGGGGATATGTGTGCTTATATTAAAATAGTGTATCAAAGAATGCCTAAATACCTGTCTTTTGTTCAGCAATCTATTCAAATCGATTACCTGGTTGGCAGCATCACTTGACCCAACATAGCACTGAGTTTCACTTTCAATAGGTGTCGTGCGAATGTCCGACGCTTGTGTGAGATCGGCACTAAATTGGGCGCGCGCATGGTTTCAGCTGTTGAGGATTTGTTGTTTGCCGCACTTTAACATGCGAATATTCACAATGCGAAATTCAGGTTCCTTACTCCTTGTTAGATAAAATATTTGATCTTTATTGCGTATGGTTTTAACAGCTGCCAAAGAACGTATTCGAGCGGAGTTCCGTGCAAACCAAGCTGTGACCGATTCGCAGAAAATAGAAGAAGTAAGTGTAAAGGGTCGGGTTTTTCTGATTTCATGGAAGTGCTCCGATCTACTTTTGAATAACCACCGACTGAGTACGCGTAACCTTTTTTTAACGACAAAGACGTGACCCATCGAGCTTATCAAATACCTCACTTCCCTCTGGTCGCGTTTAGGTCCTTCTTGAGTTTTGTGACCGGTTCCTTATGCGGTTCATACCATGCCGAAACAGCGTGATATGTCGGTCCGTACATCAACGAACTGGTACTCTAATACTACCAACTGGTTTCACCATCTTCGCTATCCTCAGTTGCCGCAACATCAATACTGAATGGTGATGCCTCACTGTCCTACCGCATGATGTGTTTGTCTAAGAAACCTCCACCACGAGTGCATTATATAGAAACGTGAAGGAGCTTAGTCGGACAAAGTGAAGGTAAACTGCCGCAAAGTCAGTAAATTGGAGGCCTGCTTTGCCACTTATTTAATCCTGCATTAGAACGCGCCTGCTTACTCAACCTGCGCAAGCGAGCTTGGATCTTTCGTTGAAATCCTCAAAATAAGAGCCGCGTCGGAATGAATAAAGTCCGCATGTTAGTAAAGCGGAAAAGTTTGATGGTTTATATCGTTCCCCACCCCCCATATATCCTCTGCCGTGTCGCCATTCGCCCGAGTCTCAACGACTGCATCTCCTGTTTATAGTGTACTTCTACCGATGTGCTGCTTCGAGGTCGTTTCTTGTTTTAGCTTTGACAATATTCAAGATGCACAAATAGTTTTCTCAATATGCGGTCTGTGGAATGGTTTAGACCATCCACTACCTGTTTCGCCCTTCTAGTCCCCCGAATCCCATAAACCGTATTTCCCACTTGACTTCAGAGTCTGGCGTACTTTGTGATTAACGCCTGTTTACAACACAAGATCATGTAATTTCTTTTTAAATTGTATGAACCAATTTCATACATGTGTGGTTATTGAGAACACACTGGCCAGATGTACGTTTAAAAATGCAACTTTAAGCAGTAACGTTGTGAACAGGCGTTCTTGTGGGACACTGTGTTTATCGTAATGTACAGCTTAATCGAAGAAACTGTGAAGACGTTTGCCTGTTACACTGTCACATTGTGTACTTTCTGCCGCCTTCTGGACGCTCCATTGCCAACCAGCATTCGGCAGACAGGTTGATAAGTCCAGAATTTCGACCAATCAGGGCCCGCCTTGATGCTGGACCGGCAAGCGGCCCGATGTTTTGGCCAATCACATGCGGGATAGGCTTCTTGGCCGTAGCAGCTCCAAATGCAAGTGGTGAAGCGGTTTCGGTGCGGGATTCCCCCTGGCACATATGCGGTTGCTGGAGACTCTTCAACATGAGTGAGAAATACAGCTAGGATTCATTGAATGGTCTCCCGTCATCAACTCAATTTACAAATGAGACATTCTTCTTTTTGCCGACCGGACCGGTCAACAAAACCAGGACCACTAAGGTTGCTGTGGCAAAAACCAAACGGAGAACAGAAAAAACGTTTTAAGTGTTATCCTGTGAATTTGTTCAACCCTACTGTGCCTGGACGCAATCCTTTGTGGTTTAAAATTGCATCTACTCATGGAGAGGTAGGCTGCAACCCACAGTTAACCACAGAGGATTTCCTAATGTCGGAAACAGGACCTAAACTGTTCTATTTGCAATCATTTGGTTCTACGAGACTTTTAACTTATTTAAACCTACAGCTGTCCTACTCTTTTCCGACTTTGTCAGCTCTTGAAATACGGCGAAGACGTCGAAATGCTCCTACGGACCACTGTTATCCAAATGGAATACAATGAAAAGGACAACCGGTTCAGTGAGTTTGGTCTTTAGTGTTGTGTCGGGGAGGCCGTTGCTACCATCCGGAATTCGCCTCATCTTGAAAGCCGTTTATGTTTTTCTTTCGTTCTGGATGTATGCGCGCAGGTTCTGCAACAAGTTACAAGGCAACACGATCAATCAATGACTGTCCAAATCCGGTTCAAAGCCAGTCATATCAGTATTTCATGGTGTACGAGTGAAGTTCATTCATCCAGCAGGCTTCATTTATTTTAGTCATTAATGTAGACAAACAACGGTCGGCTAACACAGGCTACCAACTAACCAATCAGGAGGTGAACCAATCACAGTCAGGCGAATTCGAACAGCCAATGCAGTACTGAGGACGGCATCCAGGAAGAGTGTTTGAACACTGATAAAAACTCAGTGATCACATTTAATGAAATGAGAGTTTCCAGAAACCTATCGAAGGCCAACTTCCGGGTTTACGACACGGATGCCTGATCTTACCGGATTGCGAGGTTCGCTGGGTGTAGTGTTTCCCCGAATCAGTGGCGAGCTCGTGAACGAGCATGCTTTACACTCTGCGAGTGTTGTTTACTTATACTGGCCTCAGAGTCTGCACCGATCGGGACCGAGAGACTTTCGCCACCAGGTGCCAGATGGTGCAAATGCAACATCCGTTTGATTTTACTCTCGTTTTAGGTGTGCTCAGTAAGTCTCCACAAGTTATCTGCATGATACTTGAGTCAGGTTTCCTATGTAGACTGGTACATTCCCGTAACCTCACACAAAGTGAAGCAGAACTCTCGATTGCATATGAATTTTGTTTTGATGGCAGACTCAACTAAGTTTAGCTTAATTTCTCGCGCGTGGCATAAAAGGCCATCCATCATAAACGAGAGATTCAACTGTATCCAGTTGAGTCTGCTGTCAAAATGAAATTAATGTGCGCTTGAGGGCATTGGGGTTCGGCGAATCCGTAACGAGGCAATTAGAAAGCGCGTTTTCGGTGGTGTAATGGGTACTTCCATTGAAGAATGTGTCCGGCACCAGAAGCTGCGTTGGTTGGGATATGTGTTACGTATGCCGAACCATCGTTTGCCGAAGAGAGTGCTGTTTTCCATGCCCAACTCAGAGTGGCGTAAACAGGCGGTAACGTGTTTTCTCCGCAGTTTGGCTGCTACACGTGTTCCATGATTGTCCGTGGACTTGTGGAGAGGTTGACTTCCTGCTCCCTGCGCGCGCGCGAGTCTCTGCGTGTTGACTGTGTTGTCGCTTCCTATATATAGGAAAGTTTGATGTGTGTATAAAATATGAATCGTTCCGTGCGTACTAAACAGGAACTGACTTGTAGTCGGTCCGCTACACTTTCAAACAAACCATGGTTGTACGGCAGTGAAGCATTGGTGTTGAACACTGATGTCATGCTGTCGATGATAATGAGGATGAGCCACAAGAAGGCGAAACCGATCGTTGACTGTCGAGGAGATTTTAGCCACCTAGCGAGCAATGTGTTGCGTCCAAAGATGAATATATGTTTTCAAGCAGATACAAGAATTGTCGGTTTTTCTCCATTCTCACGGTACCCGCTTACCACTGTAGGGAAAACTGAGGCACAAAGACAGTTAGNGTGCATGCATGTCACTATGTTGGATGAGCAGTGGATTTTTCGTCAAGCGAGTCAGTTTATCTCTTAGTTATTGTTGCCTGCGTTTTCCTAACGTTGAGTCGCTCGTTTGCTCCGTGTTTACTTTATCCAAATGTGATTTTGCGCGGTTTTGTCGCGGCAGTCAGGCGCCATGTTTTGCGGACCATGCCGATTCATTGATGATTTAGTTCAATCAGCGACGATGCGTGGCTGGTTTTACCCCTTTGAGGAGCCTTTTCTGTGTCTACCTCTCGACTCAGGCAGCCGTTGGCCATTACTTCATTGCATGATAATGATGAGTACTATTTATCGTTCAGCTGTAGTACCTTTTCGGTGTCTAGTTGTCACACCACCCTAAGGAAGCATATCGACCGAGGTCCTTCCAGGTTGAGCCTGGAGCAGTCGACATTTCGGGGTCGGGTTCGAGCCACGGCCCTTCCGGTCGGTAAATTATCGCCCTAACCACTGGGCCATCTCGCCCCACCCTTTCTTTAGTTTGACGCTGTCGCATAACGCAGAAGGTGTCACCAACATGTTCGACGCGTAACTTCGCTCTCACACGAAGTTTTTTGTTGCTTCATCTGGCTGTGTGTTGAAATTCACTGGTTTCAACAACCCGGTGTGTATATTCCAGCGACAAGGGATCTTTGGGAGTGGCTAAATCTGTTGTTTAGATGAATTGGGTGTCTTCGGTCTGTACAGACGTCAACCTGAATTAGTTGGCTCGTCTAGTTGAATTCAACTCATCGGCGCTGCTCCGCATTCCTTTGTAACCAAAGTGCTATATGGAGTGACGCGTATGAAGCACTAGTGATTGAGTTGGAAATTGCTGCATTGTACACTACAACATTCTCCGCCTTCTCATCGATTAGATCACACCTTTTCTACGCTTTCGGATGTGTGCTCATCGATTGTTTTGGCTATATACTTCCCGTGAGTTCGTAAGTGCATGGTGACGCGAGCTGACACTCAGAAAGTAACGAAAAAACCAACTTTTCTGCGTCCTTGGATTTAGATGCCAAAGACAGTTGCGCTAAATGACAAATAAGTGCACTGAACTTAGTAATGGATGATCTGTTCACGAAAACATTTGATGTGCCTGCCTGACAGGTCCGAACCAAAAACTGACTAATAGGAAATCTCATATATCGGCGAATACAAGGAGTGACGAAACTGCGCGGTTGTGGACAAAAACAGCAGGAACAATATGGTTTTTTTGTTAGCTACTGGGAAAGCCACTGGCCGATTTGGTACCAAAGTCACCAATTTGGACGATGTCAGCTTGATTTATGCGATCGATGCGTTGCAGTCCGATACAATTTACACCACAAAACTTCCGTCGTGTTTCCAGGCTTCTTTCTTCTGTAACTTGCTCTACCTTCAATGAAATCTTTGGTTTAAGTTGGACTTTGTTTACCTACATAACCGAATAATTTATGCGTTTCTTTCATGATTAGAACTAAATCTTCGTGAGGGTCTAGCCTACGGAGACAACGATCCAACTGCAACCAAACCACCGGAAACCAAGAGCTGACATCAGTCTTTTTACAGTAGTTGAATATATCATCGCTTTAAAAACACGAAAAAAATGATTTTTGTGTGAGTTTTTTCTACTTCCGAGATGCGGGTCAACGGTGCTAGATGACACCAGTTCATGACAAGGTTGTAGGAAACTCCGTTGACTATTTGGGAAGTTATACACTATCGAGTATGCGATGGCTTCTGGGTAAAACAGCGACTTCCCGCTCTAACTCACTTCTTCATTGTCATGTTACTAGTTGAACTCATGTCATTCGAGTGGAACAAGCAATATGGTTGTTTCGTTGGTCACACCACCATAGAGACAACCCAAAAGTTGAAATTCGCAACTCCTGCGGTCCTTAAACTACCGATGGTCTCAGTGTCCGTTGTTGGAAGTTCCTCTTAGTGTATCAGTTTGGATTTTTTCCGTAACAGCCAGTCATAGAAGTACCATTGAGGAGTGCCGTTCATCATGACTAGAGCTTGGCTTGCAAACCAATTGCCAAGCTGGGCGAACGGATCAACAATCAATAAACTCACCCGAGCTACCGATATTTCATCACATTACCAACAACTTCGGGCGTTCCATGCTCAAAACAACTCGTCGGTAAGAGACTTCTGACTGCCGACAGGCCTCCACGCGACAACAGTTCTACTTTCCCCATGAATACTTGCGCATGCAATCCAAGCTTGGTGAACAGATCAACAACCAGTAAAATAGGCTTATATAGAATGCGGTACAAAGCTCTGAGGACAATAGAACACAGGTCTGATTTCTTTGGGACCGCGTTGAAAAGTACTCTGGTGGACAACGCATTTACTTATTGCTCAGAGTATTGCACGCGCACGTGATATGCACTGACCACAAAGTATTTCCTCTTTAGAGTACTGGAAGATTCTGAATGGATGAATGCATTCACATGCTTAAAAATGAGCCATTCACTGGTGCTATTCTGGACCACGTTTGGGTTACCTTTGTACTCACAGTTGTCAGGTTTAATATTTTCCATTCTTCAGTGGCTTCAACTTCTGCTCAACATCCAGGAATTTCGGTTACACTGAGCAGCGTTTGGCTTTAATCGGTCGTAAAATGACCGCTCACCGGATTGCGAAGATAGAATCACGACAGAAGACTTGAGCAACGCAGTTTACAAACACACGAAGAAACCGAATTTATAGATCACCTGACCGACGAAATGGAAATCTGGGCGCGATTTCTTAATCGTTACGTGAGTTGCAGAAAAACTAACCAACAGTTTGTCCACTGTCTCATTGCGGCTGACGTTCGTTTCCGGAAATCGCTTTCCGTACGTCACTGCAGTATAACTGTTGAGAAGAGACTGAAAGAGGTGATTTAATGCTGCGAGGCTAAGCCAGAATGACCACTTGATTGGGTCGGCAACATAAACAACTGCACCCTCGGGTCAAAAGTCCATCGATAATTTGGGTGGCTGTACACATCGAAAAGCAAGTTTGGCTAGACCGTCGATCAATTTTGTGACGTGTTGAGTCAAGTGATCAAGGTTCTCTCACCTGTGGGAAAAACGGTCGTGGGAAATGTAGAAAAAAATTCGAGGACTACAGCGGCTGAGACAAGCACCTGCACAGAATTTTCCAGTAGCACCGTAGCATCCTCTCTGCACCTTATAATCCACCAGAAGGGTTCTGATTTACCGCCGAGACACTACTCTCTTTCTGGTGTTCCAAAAAGTAAAGCAACTATCACGAAAAACTGCAACAAATTCTTGAATTCGAGTATAGAACGTAGACTAACTCAAGAATAACTTGACAGAACTGACCCTGACATCACTTAAATCAGGCGATTCATATAGTGCGACATGAAGTAGGTTAATACGGGAAACTACGCACAAGGTTGCCGAAAATTTTCGACAGGCCCACGACCGGTTTTGCCCTTCTTGAGGCTCATCAGGTAGGTGCAGTCCCCGAGTTTCCGTCAACCTTATGTTCTACTTGAACCCAAATTGGACTGTTTTCGAGGAATACACTCATTTGCAAATCGATTTGATCGAAACTTGTCGTGGGCTGTCGAAGAGTCTCCAGCAACCTTGTGAGTAGTTTCCCTTATGAAAATGTACTGCGAAATCTCGAATATCGTGCCAACTGAAACATGAGGCGGTCTGTGTGCAGCACATTCAGTTGTAGAATATCACAAACGAGAGATTCAGTTGAATCTCTCGTGAAAAAGAAATAGATTGACAGGGGTTTACAAACCGACGCAAGAATGTTCATCCAGTGAACAGGCAGACATTGTGTTAATATGCAGTTCCGGTATACGACAGGTCAAACGAGGAAACTATGGCGCCACCTACTTTTACTATTTTTTTGGTTAGTATGAATATGTGATAATGTGACAGTACTTTCAGCTGGCAGTGTACCTCTCCCTGCATTAGCAGTTGACTGTGAGCCTATTCTGCCAACGGGTGACGCGTGGTGAGTGTGTCCCCGGACACGAATAGAATTTAATACCTTATAGATATGCAAATTATGCATGCAATCCTAGGACAAGAGAAACGGGGCACATATTTGTTGGGCGTACACAAAACTCAGTCCGTGTTTTCCCACCTGTACTGAATTCCGATGCAGGGTACCCCAGCGGCTAACCAGATGCCTGTCATGGGAAATCCGAAACTAAAAAGTCAAGAGCTGGTGGTAATTAATACTCGAAAGATGTATGATTTTGGCCACGATTCCCTGTCATACCCACCTGGAATACTTCGCTTGATAAATTATCCTTCCGCAACTTCGTTTGCCTCCTTGGACTACTGAATCATTTCTAGTAGTCAAAACTTTTTCTGGTCCGCGATGCGTCCGGCAGTTGGCTCACGCCTTTTTTATGAAAACGGACAAAATCTTGCTTGTAACAATGCAATGGGTCCGACGTGGAAAGACGACTCTGATATGCACTGATGATGAGCGCAGTTCTGGTCCAATGCTTTCCCCATTTGAGTGTGCCTGGACATGAGGTTGACTGTTTGAGCATGCACTCTACGAATCTCACAAATGTAATGCAAAGATGGGAGATTAATGGGTCAGTCTCTTTTTTCGCTTTACGAGAGACGGAATAACTTCCAAGGAGCCTTACCTGGTCATCTCGGTCAAAAGTTGTAAAGACCATTTTGGGTGTTAATACCCTCACAACTAAAATCAGGACCATTCAAGGACGCAGTTAAGGAGAAAAAAGTTACTGGTGACGAGAGTCTTTCTATCCGTAGAAACGATATTGTAGAATGCTGACTCGAAATGAATTTTTAACAAAGGAGTATATGCGACAGAATTTGAACTGAACGCTTCATGATGTTACTTCTGGCTCAATTCGGCAGCGACATCATCCCTGTCAGTAGCACATAAAATGCTCTGAGAAATTTAGCTTTTCCCGAGGTTACAGGACTGAATGCCGCCAGAGGATGTCAATTAGGAGTTTGTATCTGTCCTGAGGAGCTCTTCGATAGGCCTGTGTGCCAGCTACGAGGCACTGTGTAACAGCCAACGAATAAATTACCCATTTGCAAAGCGAAGACTACCCTGCTTCGCAAATCAACCTGGTGTAGGCCTGCGTCACTTGTTTTTTAAATGTTTCTGCTTAACGGATCGACTCACCTAATTCGACCAATCAAATGAAGACAGTAGCTTTATTGTCTTCATGTCTCTCGTTACCTCTTGTATGCAGTCTTATTTCCGGCAAATAAAAAGGACGAGGGTTGTATATCAGTTGCTTAGGAAAGTAGTTCAAAAGTAGTACTCAAGGACTTCGATAACTAACGGAGAGTGTGTGGAATGAAATCGTTATTTTAGCGGATTCTTCGTGCTAACACAATAGTTTATGTTAAACGCTATGCTTTGCATGGTATTCTCCCCGGGATGATCACCTTTGGTAGTCGACAGAGAAGCTTAAGAACAGAGCTGTAAAATGTTGAAGGTTAAATTGTGATGACGAGCGTAGGAAGTGAGGTAGATTGATTGGATAGTTTGGTCCTGTCAATGAGACTCACTACCGGTTGAATGAACGTGTGGGTAGAGAGAATTTACCAACATGACTGAGACATCAAACCAGACATTGGATATGCATGGTTGTTGGTCTGTTTGCCGAGCTCATCATCAGTCCCAGCGTGTGACATAGATGTTGAGTTCACTCTGGCGACTGGAAGATCAATCCAGATTTCTGCATGCTCAGTCAGGGGGCTACTTTTACAGAGATTTATCTTGTCATTCCGTAAAGAATTTCCACCCTGTCAGTCTGTGAGATTCGGGTGGCTTAGAATCTCACAGGATGATTGGAGCCATCAGACTACACGCAGTTCGCAAGCAGCAGACAGCAGGAACAGACGGATAAGCGCAGCCGATGATACATTGTGAACAAATGTGCTAATAAATACAATGGAACAAGTGGAACGAGTACTCACCAAACTGGCAATCGATGCGTTCAGGAAAAAGAGGCAGCAAGGCTTTTTGGAAACAAGAATAATATACAAACAATATAGAAATGTACGAATGCGGGCACTTAGAGAGTGTAACCAAGCAGTATACAGCAATAACGCGCAGAAGACAGCCAGTACATTTAATAAGTATTGCCGAATCAAAAACAAATGGTGAGTGTCTGAAAAACGGGTATCGGGTAGCACAAACTAAATGCACCTGCAGCCTTTGTCTGAGAGCATGCTTATTGGAATTTTGTTTTAAGAGAGCCTAAGCGTGCACTCTGATGTTGACACGTATCACGTGCAATACAAACATAATAAAAAACGGAGTCATAAATAGCCCGCTTGTAAGTCATCCGAGTTCGACCCCAGAAGGTACGTTTCCATCATAGCAGAGAGCAAACGAACTAGGGGACGAGCAACATGGGTGCAAAGTGCGCTATGGGAAGAACTCATAAGTCTCGCTACTCATGAGTAACCAAACACATATGAAAAATAATTGCTGACCGTCGTCAATTCATGGGAAGAGTCAACGAAAACTTTTAGGATAGCGACCTTTCTGCCGAAAGGGAAACTTTCTAGTCCGGTAAACCATGTGAATTGTTTTTTCCGTTTTATTGCTGATTAGATGGTATCACAAA